GAGAACCCAGAGGAAACCCACGTGAATACGGGGAGAACATGCAAACTCCACACAGAAACATCAACTAACCCAGCCGAGCCTTGAACCAGCGACATTCTTGCTGTGAGGCGAACGTGCTACTCACTGCACCATTGTGCAGCCCTAATAATAATCATAACGGTTTAATAATCTTGACCCCAAAAATATTATTAAACTATAAAACATTATTAAACTAAAAGTATTACTAACCACTAACTTATATAAAGACACTGTGAACTTGTTTCGAAATCTTTATTTTGAAATGTCATACAGGTTTGCAACATAAATAAGATGAGTTAACTATGACAGCATTTTCATTTTTTTTTTTTTTAAGGTGAGCTATGCCTTTATGCAAATCATGAGCATTGTCATCGTTTCTTTTAGCATGCGGTTTTCAATGGCCTGCATGTCTCTTTTTTGTTAGATGCCAAAAAAGAAAGAGCATCCGGGTGGTGCACTGGGCCACATTAACCTATCAAAGTGTGTCTCATCTTCACTCCGTCTCTGTTTTTTGGACCGGAGCTGGCTGATGATGTGCTGTAGGCTTCCATATCCTGAGTCAGCAGTGGGAAAGGAGTCATCTCTCGTCCTCCTGCCTGCAGCTGCTCCACGCAAAGGCCACGGCACCGAGCGAACGAGTTGATGGTCTGGAAAATTGCATTAAAACCTGCAGGTCTTATTCTACCGACCATCACGCATGTTTCATGTGCTGAGTTAAATTAGTCCAGTTATGGATTGATGCCATTTCTGTGCAGAAACAGGTGTTTTACAGCCTGGCTATTGTCATATCCTTAAGTTTAATCACCTGCTGGCGTGAACATAACAGGCCTTAGAGGTATTGTTCCTTTAGATGTGTTCAAGCATTTTAGGGATCACAGGTGCTTTTATTGAATGGATCCTGAACATAAGTGATTATTGACTTAAGTGTGACTGATTGTGTTGCTAAAGGTGAAGATTGTTTAATTTCAAGTATAGGCGAGGAAGTGGCGCAGTAGGTAGTGCTGTCACCTCACAGCAAGATGGTCGCTGGGTCACTGGTTCTAACCTCGGCTCAGTTGGCGTTTCAGTGTGAAGTTTGCATGTTCTCCCTGCCTTCGCGTGGGTTTCCTCCGGGTGCTCACAGTTCAAAGACATGCAGTACAGGTGAATTGGGTAGGCTAAATTTTCCGTAGTGAATGTGTGTGTGGATGTTTCCCAGAGATAGGTAGGAAGGGCATCCGCTGCGTAAAAACTTGCTGGATAAGTTGGCGGTTCATTCCGCTGTGGCGACCCCGGATTAATAAAGGGACTAAGCCAACAAAAAAATGAATGAATTTCAAGTATTTCCTCTCAGATATTAGTTGGTCAATCAGAAAGTCCCATCCCAGGTTCAAGACATTGGTTAAGTAGATGGAGTGGTTACATTGTTATCTTTGCAGTTTATAGATACTTATACACAATTAAAAATGTGTTAAAATAAAAACTTTTATTTTACTTACAACGTAAAGAAATTTGGACAACATCACTGTTGTTTGGGGTGCCAGAAAATCCTGAAAACTGTGAATTCACATATAAGCATATCAAGTGATTAGTCTATAGGCATGTGTTAGTACTTCAAAAACAACAACAGTAAACTAGACTGTAGACTAGACTAGCCTGGACTGTATGTGTGTGTGTGAATTTGTATGCGCACAACCTGACAAAAGTCTTGTCATCAATCCCAGTTGTAAGAGCAACAAATAATAACTTGACTTCTAGTAATCATTTGGAAAAGTGGCAAAAGGTAGATATGAGGGATCATCTGTTGAACTGCATCATAATCATCACAAATACAGCAGAAGACCCATTAGAACCCACATGGACCCAAGATTTTCACAGAAATCAGTCAAGTTTTGTGAAGGAAAAATCATGATTACATTCATTGGAGGTGTAATACATACATTATTTGGGTGTGCGAGAGATCTGCAGAGTGGATGGCAACATCAACAGCCTGAGGTGTCAAGACATTTGTGTTGCCCATTGCATTACAAAGCACAGGAGAGGGCAAATTCTACAGCAGGATTGTGCTCCTTCTAATACTTCAGCCTCAACATCAAAGTTCCTGAAAACAAAGGTCAATGATTGGCCAGCCCAGTCACCAGACATGAACATTATTTAGCATGTCTGGGGTAAGATGGAGGAGGAGGCATTGAAGATGAATTCAGAGAATCTTGTCCTGCAAGAACGCTTTCTTTGCCATTCCAGATGACTTTAGTAATAGATTGTTTAAGTCATTACAGAGATTTATGGATGCAGTCCAAGCACAAGAGAGCCATACACAACATGAATTATTTTTCCACTGCACCCAGATTTTATATTCTATACTGTACATTATTTCTGTTAAGTGACGACTTTTGTCTAAGCAGAGTCATACCTTACTGTCCCAATTAAATAATTAAAAATCAAGGCATGATCATAATTTATTTTGGTAAAATAAGCGTAATCAAGAGGCATTTGCTTTTCATATAAGCCACTTCTGATACCAAATGATCAACTAGAAGTCAAATTATATGTTGTTTCTAAAACTTTAATAGGCATCAAGACCTTTGTCATGTAGTGTATATGTGTGTGTAGTGTTTCATCACAAAGTGGCATCACCATCCTGGCTGGCATGCATAATACAGCATTTCTAGGCATATTCATATTAAAAGTTTTCATCTTTAGAGCTATTAAAGTCACAATGGAAAAAACGTTTTTTAATTATTTATTTATTTATTTATTTATTTATTTATTTACTTATTATTTCATTTTATTTCATTTTATTTCATTTTATTTCATTTTATTTCATTTTATTTCATTTTATTTTATTTCATTTTACTTTATTTATTTATTTATTTTTTTTTACATTTTTAGACGCATTGTTGTAATATTAACATGCATTTACAACAGACTTTGTGCTCCCATGGGGTAACAGACTGAATAATGTTACTGTATCTTCTTCACTGGCCTGTCCATCCACTCTAGCAGCAAAATGTAAAATTGTGCATTTAATTAATTTGATATTCAATTATTCCTCCAACCCTCCAAATTAAACCCTTGAGGTCTTCTTCGATTTACTTAGGCCAGATGTCTGCAGGGAAAAAAAAAAAATCTCCACTAGTGTTTTAATTCATAAAAAAAGTGTTTGTTTAGTTTTTAATAAAAACACAAGACCTAATTACATAATACTAGACTTTAATGTGGCAGCATGGTGGCACAGTGAGAAGCACTTTCGCCTCACAGCAAGAAGGTTGCTGGTTTGAGCCTCAGCTGAGTCATTTGGCATTTCTGTGTGAAGTTTGCATGTTCTCCTCATGGTCACGTGGGTTTCCTTCAGGTGGTCCAGTTTACCCCTCAAGTCCAAAGACATGTATGTGTGTAAACGAAAGTGTATGGGTGTTTCACAGTAATGGGTTGCAGCTAGATGGCATCTGCTGCATAAAACATATGCTGGATAAGTTGTCAATTCATTCCACTGTAACGGCCCCAAATTAATAAAGGAACTAAGCTGAAAAGAAAACAAATGAATGAATAGACTTTAATGTAGTTTCTGCATCATATATTAATTTAGTGAAGTTTATTTATAAACTAATTTCGAGAGGATCACAAGCTTATCATTGAACACAGCTGGCCATGCATTAGCCAATTCATGATTCACCAGTCAGACGATTCCTTAGTCACAATAAATAGTTCCATAACACAGCCATCTTCCTTTTAAAGAATTCTTTCACCTTCTACTACTCCTTTCTTAAATGGGTGGCACGGTGGCCCAGTGGTTAGTGGCTCACAGCAAGAACGTCACTGGTCCTTACTAAGCCAGTTGACATTTTTGTGTAGAGTTTACATGTTCTATCCGTGCTCACATGGGTTTCCTCCCATCGTTCAAAAACAAACTTAAGTCAATTCACTAAATCCAAATCGGTATCATAGATGTGCTCCTAGTAAGTAGTTATATCTTAAGAGCAATCACTATCTGTTCATAAGCTACTTCAGCAGGGGAGTTTTCGAGATCTATCTGAGCTCAAACTCCCCTCTCACCCTGAAACAGGATGGAGCGCTGACCTCGAGGATCATCAATCATAAATAATCATCAGCTAAGTGAAATATATTTTATACTGCTACAAAAGTAAATGACACAATTGACATAAGCACCAATCAAATGCATCAATAAGTTGGCATGATAGCCCAGTGCTTAGTGTGCTGACATATGGTGCGGCAGTGATTCAGGCGTCCCGAGTTCAAATCTCAGCTCAGGTACCTTTCCTAATCCCCCCTCACCGGCTTTACTTTCTGTCAACCAACTGTCCTGTCAAATAAAGGCAAAAATGCCAAAGATAAATCTTTAAGATAAAATAAATAAAAATAAAACAAATATAACCATAGAAATCTGGCTTTTCCAGAAACAACTTACTAAACAATTTAAAAACGTTTATAATTAATGATTAGATAAATAGTTGTACATTTAAATAAAATCAAAACATACAAGTTATAACATAAAACAAAATGGAAATGAATGTACTGTAAGTTTTCTACAATTTATTTACAGTAGATTGTACTATTGCATGAAATGAATATAGCATCTATCATTGAATATATCATCTATCAATGAACATATTATTCTGGATATTATTTATTTATTCTTGCCTCAAACCTCCTTTAAATTCTCATCATGATATGCACAAGTGAAAACCTTTTCTTTCAAGGCCCATTGAAGCTGGTTAAACAATGCAAAGACCACAACTAGGTCTTGAAACCCATCATATACAAATTATCTAGCAATCTGTCCTTGAGTGCATTTTAGTGCTTGGTAAAATATAAAGCCCCTTTTAAAAACAGCATATCGAAATATCCATATCCTCTGAAAGAAATTGAAATTGACAGAAAAGACAAGGTCACATTTAAGTGTAGAGACAGAGAGAGAGAGAGAGAGACAGAGAGAAAGAGTCATCCGGTCATCTGTTTCACCTTCAGTTTATATTTTGCAGGCGACGCCAATGGGCATGAGGAAATAATAGGCTTTGTCCTGCAAACAAATGAATCCGAAGTACCCCGAATTGGCACAACGCTGCTTACTTATCAGCAAGGTAACGTTAGATAAAGATAATTAGCATGCGGAGCCCCAAGGCTGTCTGTGCATGCTCTTGACTGAGGCGTTTGGGGTGAACCCAAAAACCAGGACCTGAAATTGCATCTCTGCAGTCATAAGAGAAAGCCATAAGAGAAAGAGAAGAGGTCAGGACCGGTGACACTCAATTCCAGCCAGTTCTTCTCCGGTAATTAACGTGCAATGCTAATGCCATCTGATACAAATGAAGCACGACTCCTGTCTCTTCATAATTCTCTCTCACTCGAAAGTAATTCAAGGGTTGGATGTGCTGAATGTCCTCCTCTCCCACGAGAGCTGGCTTCATTACAACTGGATTGTTTCAGCACCTCTGAGCCCCCCTCTGCAACTCTTTCATGTTTTCCTGTGACACACGTATGCATTCCAAATGACTTCAAATAAGCAGCCGGTGAACATCATAGAGGGACGGGCTCTGAATGTTACTGAAACAAGACAAGAAAGAGACATGGGTGGATGGAAATATGAGAAAAATGAGAAAATAAATGGGTTCGTGGGTAATTGGAGGGATGGAGAATGGGATGAAAGAGGCAGAGGGGGAAACAATTCATGTTGTGAAACTATCAAGGTTTCAACTCCCTTTTTAAGCTTTAAATCCAAGTTTTTGATTTATCATTCAATTAATTTTGATTTTTTTCTTTCTCATTTTTTAAAACTTAAATAATGGATCACTAAATTTTAAATTTTAAGGTAATCCTTTAATTAAAAGGAGTTTAAATCTGCCAGGAAGTAAGATATTTTGGATGTGCAAGAATAAAAAAAGAGTAAACAATATTCAGTGTATCATAGTTGCCTAAAGTAGGCCAAAATTAGCTCTTTTTAACCTTTGATTTGGCCCACCATCCCATCTGAGAGGAGAGTGAAAGTGATGGAGAGGGTTGGGTTGAATGTCTTTAACACAGAAATCATCATTTTGTCGTGTTTGAATTATAAGGCTCTATCTGCATTCTAAATGATTTTAAGATATTGAGCTTCAATGTTTATGGATTCTACATAGTAAACAAAATGTGTGTAACAATATGTTCTCTTTCATACATCAACATGACAGAGAACCTAAATGTACTCTGAATGATTAAAATTGTCTTAAATGTGCAAATTGGGGCAAACAAAACAGGGCAAACGCAGATAGAACCTTCTGATTCTAAAAAGTAATTTTCCACTTAGAATTATAAGTTTGAATCTGGAAGATCAATAATTGAAGCATTACTTTTCAAGAAACACAATCAGTCTGCTTATTAATTTAGTTAAATAAATACAAATTATAAAACATTTATTTATAATTGCATTGTGTTCTATTGCTGAGCTGCAAAAAATAAAAAAATAAAAACTGAAAATAAATGTTTCCATCAAATGTTGTAAATTTAATCAGATTAAAAAAAAAAAAAAAAATATATATATATATATATATATATATATATATATATATATATATATATATATATATATACTGTCATTAGAAAGATAGAGGACTATGCAAAAGACATCAGTGATCAAATCAAGGCAACAATTAGTGTAATTATGTTATAAATTATATTTTTTTGTTTTTACTGCAATAGGTTTATTATAAAATGTAAAAAAATACTGTATTTGTAAATATAAAGCATTGTTTTTTATAAAATTTTAAACATTATTTAATAAATTAGGAAATTAGCCATGAAAAGTATATTTACCTTCAGCCCATAAGCCTCAATCAAATTTGGTTTTTGGCCCTGTATAAGAAAAGGTTTGGGCACCCCTGTAGTATATTATGACAGAAGTGCATAATGTTTTGTGTTGAGACACTTGATTATGTCAGATTATGTTATTTCGAATACTAGGTTATTGTTTTTTGTGGACAAGAAACATGTCAGATTACATGTTGCGTCCAGAACTAGCAATCATTATCAGTGATGGAGGCTGTGAAACTAGTGACTGATGTCTGGAAAAAAATAATAATAACGTAAACAAGCACTGGCAGGGTGCTTTGTCAAGTCTGTTGTGAAAGTTCCTCGAGGAAACATCTGCGGTTGTGCATTTTGACATATCTTGCAATGTCTAACACATGGTTGATGTCCCTCAGACAGCATGTAATCCCATTCATTTCCCTTCATCTTTATTGCACTTTAAGCAAGCATTTGTAATTTGTAACCAAATATTTTTTGAAGTATTTTTGCCAATCTCTGTTAACAACTACATAACTAACATGCAGAAAAACCAACGCAGGCTCATTGGACATGTGCTTCAGGTTACTTTTTTTTTTTTTGTGATTCCTAAAAATGTACTTCAATATACTGTACAAAGGTATTACATTCAAATTTAATAGCGTAAAATAAATGCTAATGTAGTTTCAGTTTGCTCTGTAAATTACTGTACACAGATGCAGAGTGCTAGGGTTGAGTTCAGTGAAGCATGGCTGCATAAAAGAGACAAAAGAAATATAACTGGATTGTTGAGTGCGCTGTTCTCTTAACCAATACAATTGGTTGGTTTGGGTCTTACGGCCCCAAATCCAAAACTGTCTCTTTTAATAAAATCAAGGTTTGAGTCGAACATATGAAAGACACAGAAGCTTTAATATGACAGGTTGACGTTCCCGTTAATATCTTTTAATATTATTAAATCAACTTTACAATAAGATAAAATATATATATATATATATATATATATATATATATATATATATATATATATATATATATATATATATATATATATATATTATGAACAAATAACTGTAGACAGGTAGGGCAGCTAAACAAACCAGTTCCCTGACTATAGCTGTTCTTCCAAGAAAGATCTTACCTTTAACTCCAGTGAAAATAATAAAAACAAGTGAGTCTTCCGGGCCTTCCCTTTGCTTAACTAAATAAATAACAAAATGTGACTATGAAAATTGATATCCACTACCTGCTACAAAATAAACAAAGTATCAAAATAAACAAATATGCAAAATAGTTTAACACATTAAGAATGCTAAAGGAACAAACGTTAACAAAAAAACATTGCAACAGTAAGAGCGCTATGAAGAGCGATCCTGACATGCGATGAGCACTGCCAGCCAGATAGCGTAAGAGTAAGCAACAGTGAGAGAGACTGAGCCACCATTGCCGTCAGCCTTGTATACAGGGAATCCCGATGACATCACCGACATCATTTAATCCGGACAAGCCGTTCAAAATCTCCCCCTGAACTCAAACAAGCACATAAAACACAAACAACCATATCAAAAACGAACAAAAGAAAATAACACAGGTCCACGTAACAGAAGGGTTTAGGTCAGTGGTTTGCTATGTGATTTGTACAACAAGTCCCACCTTCATGTGGGCATGTAGAATGTACACTAAAGTAGCATATTTCAGATTTGCAAACATGCAGATACCAACCTATAGTGGATTTGGAATCTGAATCGTGCAACAAAATGTGCAGTGTATTTTAAGTTTTGTAAAAATGTGCATGTATTTTCAGTAAGCCTGTGTTGTTTTTGTTATGAATTACAAAATGTATGCTCTTTAAATAAATTGCTCTAATAGCCTTTTTATCTTTTTTTTGCCTGCATATAATTATTTAACTACTTACATTTTTGGCTATTTAAAAAGATTATGCCAAATTTCAAATTGGAGGATTGAATTATGAGTACATTGTACTTCTAAAGCTTCTAAGCTTTTTTTTATAAAAAGCTAAAAAAAACTTACAATTTTGTTTTGATAAATATAACTACAGAGGCAGTAATTTTGACATAAATAATAAAACCATCACTGTTCAGTTCACTTCATTATTATGTGCCAAGTGAAAAAAATAATCTAATCTAATCTTTAAGAAGCACCCATAGTAACCTCTTCTGTCATGTTGTCTGGCTGACTTGAGATTGCTTTGCTTCTGTCTCCTGCAATCCTGATCCATTCGCGTAGATTCATTTCTCGAGATATCTTTCAGGCCCGTTATTAGATTTACTTGTGATTTAAAAAAAAACAATAATAAGAAGAAAGCCGATTGGCTGAAAACATTGTTGAGGGCCGACCTGACTTTTGCTTTAACTTGTGCATGGTGACAACCATCATGCGTGTGTGCACGCACAAACAACCCACACAGCCTTTCCTTGCTCATATACATTCTCTGTCTCTCTCTCTCTCACACACAAACACACACTTAGGTATTCACCATGCACAAGTTAAGGCTGGATTCATTAAAACAAATACCGGAAAGCAAAACATTTTACATATGCATATGACATTTTCTGGAACAGGATCCGGCAAGATCCGGCTCAAATTAAACTCTGGTCCAGAGGATATTGAAATACACATATGTTAATACATATTTCAGGAATATCAAGCTTCAAATTAGAAACTGTGAGGAGTATAGCCAGCCCGATCTTATGACTCGAGAAATTTTACATATTGTCATAAAAGTAGCTAATTTGCACAAATACATACCATTACATTCGTATGAAATTTGACATTTTTAAAGTCTATTCCAACCTGCTCGATGAGCAAAACATATTAAATATACAAATCATCATAACAATTTGTGCACTAATGTGTTTAAACTTTTATTGTCTTATATTTTTAGCAATTTAAAAATCACAAAAGCTTGTTTATTTATTTATTTATTTATTTATTTATTTATTTATTTATTTATTTATTTATTTATTTGTTTGTTTGTTTGTTTATTTATTTATTTTTTAGTTAGTTAGTTAGTTAGTTAGTTAGTTAGTTAGTCAGTCAGTCAGTCAGTCAGTTAGTTAGCTAGCTAGTTAGTTAGTTAGTTAGTTAGTTAGTTAGTTAGTTAGTTAGTTAGTTTAGTTAGTTAGTTAGTTAGTTAGTTAATAAATGGGCAGCAAGGTGGCTCAGTGGTTAGCACTGTCACCGCAAAGCAAGAAGGTCGCTGCTTTGAGTCCTGGCTGGGCCAGTTGGCATTTCTGTGTGGAACTTGCATGTTTTTCCCCAGTTTGCGTGGGTTTCTTCTGGGTGCTCCGCTTTCCCTCAC